CCAGCTTGGCTTTGGCATGCTCGAGCACTTCATCTTTTTTTATATGTCCTTTGCTTCCACTTCTCTTTTGCCCAACCTACCACTCTCTTAGTCTTTCAGTATCCCTGGTTTTTATTAAGCTTCCATCCTCCCTGTTACTTGGCATCCCCAATTACGCCTGTTAAATATATTTCAGACTTGGCAGTATAGTTCAGTGGTCTGGCAGTTTTTAATCTACCTTTACTCTTAAATGGGTATCTGGGATGTTGCCTCCCCAGGAGCTTTTCAGTAACCAACACTTCTCTCAGAAGAATGTCTTGACCATCTCTTAGTCCCCTCTGCTCTGTCACCAAAGGGCTGTTGGTTAGAGATGCTCTTGAAAGATAAGAAAGATAAGAGGTATAGAGCCAAGTCTTCTAGGGGGCTTGCCCAGGTCGCTCTACCTCTGGCCTCTAATTCTCAACACACATACCTACGTGGCTGCTCTTGTTAGTACAGTGTTGATTCTCTAAAAATTAGCCATATGCCTGCAGCTTACTTTGTCTGAGGATAATGTCACCACCAGAATGACTGCTCTGACCATTTGCTTGGTGTCGTTCTCATGGCTTTTTGAACAAGGAGGCTGGGCACCCTAAAAATATTCCCACCTCTGCAGCATGGTTTATGCCTTAGTGTGATGTTCCCTGGAATGCTTTTCACTTCACATTTCTAAGTAGAAAGATAAGTGCCTAACTTATCCCAGTCCATAAGATTTAAAACTTGTCCTCAAATGTCTTGAGGTTTTGCACAAAATTCTCTCTGAATTTTACACCTGGCACAAGTTAATGCTGGACGCCATAGTCAGCTCTTAATACAGGTCCAAAACATTGAATGTATTGTATCATTAGCTGCCTGGTTACATTGACTTCCTAGCTCCTCTCTTAGACTACTGCTAATCCCTTAGGAATGAGAGCTCTGGCATTGGTGACGCAACCTGAAGTGGCATTACAAGCCTTTGCTTGAACCAGAGCAACTCCTCTGCCCCAAGGCAGCTTAGTATATATGTCACTGAATCAGGCTGTGGTCATCCTAAGATCTATCTTTATGCATCTGTTCATCCATATATCTGTCCGTGGCTGATTCTCACTGACTCATTGCTTGCTTGCTTGTTTCCTTGCTTTGGAAGTCTATCCAAGATGTATACACACTACTTTAGGAAGGGGATTGCTTAAAAAAAAAAAACATTGCAGAGGGTTTGGGAAGAGTGCTTAAGAAAGAGTGGCCAGGCTGGATGACTCAAGTATAAATGAGAGGATTTCATAGTGAAGTATCAGTGTGACTTTGTGATCAAGTGATGTAATATAGGAATTGTATAAAAGGGAAGAACTGTCCAACACTGGTCTGTTAGTGAGGTACTTCAGGGGCTTCTTGACCTGCATATTTAAAGTTCCTAAGATGATGGCTTTTTCCTCCTTTTGGCTGTGTTTTAATCCACGGTTGTGCCTTATTGTTCCATTAAAATCGTATTCTTCGATCCATCAATAAATACTTGTGGTTAAAACAAAACAACTTGGTTGATTTTTGTCCTCATATTTTATAAGAATTTTTCATGACTCAGTCCCTTTTTTCAGGTTTGAAATCATAATGTGTCTTCTTTACTCGGCTTTATATCTGTGCTATAAAGTGCATTTATTTAAACATAATTGAGCATGACATGAGATTCTGTCAGCATTTATATCTGCTGCTGCCTGGACATACAAGGCAGAAGTGTTCGTATCGTGGCCGGCACTGAATGCCTCTGAGCATGACTGACAGCCTCAGCCACTTCCCACTCTGTCCAGGTGGGATTCCATTTCTGTTCTTGAACCCCTGACTTCTTAAATGTAGAAGAGGTCTAAAATGGGATGTCTGTCTATTGCTTCTTGTTAAGTTGTCCACAGTCTCAGTGACGTAGTGTGCCCAAGTATTATTACATGGCTTTTCACACTTTCAAGTTTCAGTCCACTATGTAGGGTATGAGTGAGTTCTTATTTTAAAGTTTAGTGTCATGCCACAGGACTCAGATCCTATAGGAGTCAATCCTATAAATTCTAACACAATACCACCTTCTTTTCCCATCCATCTGCTTCAAAAGTCCATTCAAAATAACTTGCACTGTTTTAGCTTTGCTTCACTTTGAGTAATTTTACAATCTGGAGAAAGTGAAAAATAGTTGGAGTAACCGTAACATCAGTTTTGGAGGAACTTTAATATTACTGACCATGCCATAGGTATACAGTCTATGACTAAAATAAAACAACTGATACTGTAAAAAAAATTTTAAGAACATTACAACATTACTTGCAGTTTGAAGAGAATCCCCTTAATTTTATCTCCCTTGCTCCCTTCTGGTCTATGCATCCATTACATATTTTTAACATAAATGAAACATAACATGAGATACCAGCTTTTAGAAATTAACCTTGTGGTATTTCCCTATATGAACTGTTCTTCCCTGTTTATATTAATGGTTGCATAATATTTTACCAATTTGATGTATATTTACTCAGCCATTACCTTGTTTGCTTGGTTTCCAGTTTTATGTTTTAAAATAGTAATACGAGTGCCTTTCTACCTATAATTCTTTTTTTCTTTGAAAACATTTTCTAGAAGTGGGATTATTAGAGCAAACTTTGGGCATATAACTTCAAGCTTTGATAAATAGAATGCCACAAGCAATCTAATTACTCTCCTTTACCGTCAGTGTTCTTTTTAGAATGTGTTTCATGGTCATCAATTTTTTCAACTTGATTACAGAATCATGTTGCCAAGTTTTGTGTTTAAAACACTATGAGAACTGATTGTCTTGATGGGGATTTTAAGTTTTTTTTTTTTTTAAATGTGGATCATTGTTAGTCTTTATTGAGATGGCAGTATAGTTTCTATTTGTTTTGCTTTTTTGCCATGAGGCATGTGGGATCTTAGTTCCCCAATGGAGCATCCAGGTATTGAACCCATGTACCCTGCATTGCAAGGCAGATCCTTAACCATTGGGCCACCAAGGAAGTTCCTAGAAAATCTTGAATGATCATTTCTGTCAGGGATCTTACAGAATTCCTAAAACAACAGAGGTTTGCCTAGATGATTTATTGACAGAATTCTTGCCGGCTAATTCATAGACTTAACTAGGTTCTCCAAGTAGTTATAACACTATTTTGCAAAAATTTTTTGTATTCGTGTTTGTTTTTGTTTTTAGGAATACACAAAAGAATATCTGCAGAATTTTATACATGAAGGGGGATGATTGTCAGGAGGAACAAATAAATAAGAGACAGTCTGCATCATCCCAGTTGACACTTTTATAGTTTTTTGTTCTTCCTTAGTTTCCTGTACCCCAGGAAGAAAAATACCTGTTCTTAGGGATTGCGTTGACTCTAATCAATTTGAGAATTGCTATCTGAACAATATTGAGTCTAACAATCCATTTTCATGGAAAGTATTTATTTAGATCTTCCTTCCTCTCGTCATGTTTTGTAGTCTAAAGTGTAAAAAGCTTGGACTTGTTTTATTAAATTTTTCCTAAGCATTTTATCCTCTGGGATGCTATTTTGAATGCAGTTTTTTAAGTTTCATTTTTGTTATTAGTATAAAGTTGATTTTTGTATACTGATCTTGTATCCTACAACCTGCTCAACATATTCTAGTAGTTTTGTTTTTGCTGTGTGTGTGTATTCCTTACGACTTTCTACAAAGGATCATGTCATCTGAGGACAAAGTTATTATCCGTCTTTTTGCACCGTCTGCCCCCTCCAGTACAATGTAGAGTAGAGGTGGTGGGAGATGGTGTCCTTACCTTGTTTCTGATCTTAAAGCCAAAGTATTGTCTCACCATTAAGTGGAATATTAACTGTAGGTTTTCCCATAAATGCTCTTGATCATGTGAAAGTGTTAATTCTCCTAGTTGTGTCAGACTCTTTGCGACCCCATAGCTTGTAGCCTGCGAGGCTCCTCTGCCCATGGAATTCTCCACGCAAAAATACTGGAGTGGGTTGCCATTCCCTTCTCCAGGAAATCTTCCCCACCCAGGGATCAAACCCTGGTCTCCCGCATTGCAGGCAGGTTCTTTACTGTCTGCGTCACCACTTCTGTAAAAGTAAGATTTCTTGGCCTCATCTGAAGACAGGAAACCGGACCTCAGCCGCAGCAGTAGGGCATCTGTACTTCTAGGAAGCAGCTCAGGTTACAGCCTTAATGGTGTTTGAGGACCTATACTGCCCACTTATGGTTTTTCCAGTAGTCATGTACGGATGTGAGAGCTGGACAACAAAAAAGGCTGAGGACCGAAAAACTGATGCGTTCTACTGTGGTGCTGGAGAAGACTCTTGAGAGTCCCTTGGAAGCAGGGAGATCAAGCCAGTCAATCCGAAAGGAAATCAAAACCCTGAATATGCATTGGAAGGACTGCTGCTGAAGCTGAAGCTCTAATGCTTTGGCCACCTGATGAAAAGAGCCGACTCCTTGGTAAAGACTCCGATGCTGGGAAAGATTGAGGGCAGGATAAGGAGGGGGCGGCAGAGGATGAGATGGTTGAATGGCATCACTGACTCGATGGACATGAGTTTGAGTAACCTCCAGAGTAGGTGAAGCACAAGGAAGCCTGGTGTGCTGTAGTCCATGCGGTCGCAGAGTCGGATAGTACCGAGCGACTGAACAACAGTGTTAAAAGTTCCAGGGCCCTGAAAATGAAACTACTAGTAAACCTAACGATGGCTTAAAATAGTCACGCGGCCTAGCCATAGACTACCTAACGACGAAGTTCCGCTGCTTAAACGCGGAGATAATTTTACACTCTTAAGAAATGAATTAAGAAAGTATTTTTCCCTATTACCTCAAACCTGAGACCCAATCACCGTCAAACACAAGCCGAAAGAGTGGGGCTAGAGCTATTGATTGACACACATCCCAACCAATCTACAACGGAGGAAGAGCGCGCCTGCGCAAGTCATTATCCAATCTGTACTCAGCATTGGCGGAAGAGGCGGGGCGCCTGGAAACGGCCGCCGCAGGGTTGGCGGACTTGAGAAGGAGTGAAGATGGCGGAGTGAGGCTCGTTGAGGCTATCTGGCCTTTGGGCCAGGGGGCGGGCCGGCCCTGGGGCGCTGGAGTGCTTCTGCTGGCCCGTGCGAGGTAAGCTGGGAAGGCTGGGGACGGGGAAACTAGCAGGATGTGGCGCGGCCCAAACCATCCGAGGAACAGAGTGCACAGAGCCTGCCCGCACTGGCGCGGGCCTTGGCTGGGCGCTGGTTTCCTTCCGAGCTGCCCTAGGGCGGCCGCCCCCGCTTTTGAAGGTGTGTTGCACCTCTTCTCAAACCCGTTCTGCCACTGACCTTAGTGCCTTGGCTTTGGCTGTGTTTGTGCCTTCGGCTCGTTCCCCAATGGTTGCACCCCCGCTGGTGTATATCTGGCATTCTCTGTGTCGGCCATCAGTTTATCTTTGACGAATGTCTTAGTTTTATTGGTTTGTTTCTGTTCTTCGTCTCACAGGTTCGTGCCCACTGTTTTGCCTGAGTCTCGGGTCTCAATCGAGGCCGGTCCGAGTTCTGAGTGTCTTGTGTCCCCGTCCCGTTGACCTTGAGATTTGATATAACAGGTCAGGTTCCCCACCCTCCCACACCACCCCGCCCGGGGATTTTAATTTTAGTTTGTGTATCGTGTGTGTACTCTTGCTTAACTCTGTTATATCCATTTATTCCCACTACCACCTCTCAAACTTTTTTAAGGTCTGAGAAAGCAGCTTTGTCCTTGTATGACCTGATAGTTGCCTAATGGCGCATTAGTCTCGGCTGACTAGATGGAATTCACCGTAGTTTTCCAGAGCTGAAAGAGTCAGTGTACAATTTAATTTATATATATATATTTTAGAGAGAGAATGAGGAAGAGTTTGGGGAATTATCATTAGAAAGTAACTTGTTTAATGGGGAGAGGTTACAAAGTATAATACTCAGGCATTTCTATTCTGTTTTTGTTTAACTTTATGGGATGCATCTTTTCGTAATTTGGGTTGTTATGACCCCTCACATTCGGTCTTTCAGTTAAATTGTGGGAAGGGCTCCCGTTACTAGGTTTCTGAGTTGGTGAAGTCTGTTTGAAACTGGCACGTTCGTTAGGCCCGGTTCAAATAACGTGTCCTTTACAAATGAAGGTGACTGGTACACTTTTTGCCGGCCCTGGATTTAGCAGAGCTGAAAATACCGGGTGAAGAACTAAAACCTTTCTGTTGCTTTTGTCTGGAGTAGTTTTTCCTTTCATTTAGGAAAGTAAAGAAAATATGGGGCAGAACATTCTTCCTTCCTACCTTACAAACGGGAGTGGTCATCTTTACTAAAGCAGAGGTCTTCTGTGGGAGGAGAGGGCCCACAGCATCATCAGATTCTCAAGGGGAACCTTGTTTAAAAACTTGAGAACCACTGTCTCAGGAGTTTTGACATCTTTATGAAATTAATGCCAGTGCAGATAAAGAGTAACTTCTTTTCTGATTGTTCCTTCCAAATAGTTTTTATAATGTTTTTAAGACTTATTTGGTTCATTTGAATATGCACATGGATGCATATAGCACAAATAAGGGCTATATCCTTACTGTAATTTTTTTTTCTTCCCCTTACTGCAGGAAGAACAGTTTCCTTGCCATTTAGGTGCTTTTATATTCATCTCAAAAAGAAAACAAAATGCTGAACTCGGAATTTGGCAAGTGAGTAAAAGTAGCTAACGCTTTCAAATACCGTTAAAGTAGCTCGGAAATAGCTAGACGGAAGTGGAACAAGAAATCATTAGCTTCAACTGAGAATGAATATCACAAGTGACTATATATGTATATTTAACCTAAATCATTTATTTTCAATAAAAGCAATGTATTAGATATAAAAGAAAATAAAAATTTGATCATTTGCCCAAACCAATAATTTTTATTTGATAAGGAGGAAAGATTTAAGTAGACTGTAGGAGATCAATTGATAAAATATAAATGTTACTGGGCAAATTTTAGAGTATATTCACTTAAATTTGAATTATAAAGCCTTTTCAGTACACCTTTATTATCTTTTGGTATGAATCTATTCTTCTGAATTTACCACAAAAGTAAAGTACTTTATGTTGCTCAAAGAGCATTAAGTGATAGTGCTAGTAGACAGTAACCTTATGTCCAAATTAGGGTTCACAGCTACTGTATTAGTTTCCTGGGCTATAACAAAGTACTACTAAGTGGGTGACTTGGAGATCAGATGTCCAAAATCAAGGTGTTGGCAGGACCATACTCTCCCTGAAGGCACTTGGGAAGGATTTGTTCCAGGCCTTTCTTCTAGTTTTTCGTAGTTCTTTGGCTTGTGGCAGCATAACTCCATTCTTCACAGGGCATTCTCCCTGTGTATGTCTGTGTCCTAAATTCTCCCTTTTATAAGGACACTAATCAGATTAGGGGTCCATTTGTCTTCAGTATGACTTCATCTTAATTAATTACTTATGCAGTGACCCTGTTTCCACATAAGGTCACATTTTGAGGTACTTGTAAGACAACATATGAACTTGGGGATGACATATGACATAGTTCAACCCATAATGTCTACGTACCTTGATTGTAATATATGAAAACATTCAATGTTCAACTGCTTTAAGGATTAAAATCTTGTATCCCAGTTGTATAAGGTGCTTAAGTATAGTCAAACTCATAGAGCCTGACAGTAGAAGGGTGGTTGCCAGGGGCTTCAGGGAGTGGAAATTAAGATTTATTATTTAATCAGTACAGAGTTTCAGTTTTGTGATATGAAGAGTTACAGAGATGGATGGTGGTGATGGTTGCACAATAATGTGAATACTTAATGCCATTGAACTGTACACTTAAAAGGGTTAAGATGATAAATTGTATGTTATGTGTATTTTACAATCAAAAAGTGTAAAAAGGTACATGAAAAGTTCCAACTGTATATTTTAATATTACAAAAAGGAATAAAAACAGGAAACAGAATAAGCGCCCTTTAGTTGGTAAGCGTCTTTATCTTATGCCTTTAGAGTAAAGGCTTTGTTGCTTGGATTTATAACTTATAATTAAGTCCATGCAGACTATTGAATAAAAATTCAGCTGAGTTAATTAATTTTAATTGAAGTATGGTTGATTTACAATGTTGTCTTAATGTCTCCTATACAGTAAAGTGACCCAATTATACATATACATACATATATACATATATATATATGTATATATATAATATACATACACATTCTTTTTTGTATACTTTTCCATTATGGTTTATCCCAGGACTTTGAATAGAGTTCCTTATATTAATACAGTAGGACCTCGTTGTCCATCCATTCTGTATATGATAGTTTGCATCTACTAACCCCAAATTCCCACTCCATCCCTCTCCCACCTCAACTCCCCCTTGGCAACCACAAATCTGTTCTCTGTTTATGATTCTATTTCTGCTTCATAATAGGTTCATTTGTGTCATATTTTAGATTTCACACATCAGTGATATCATACAGTATTTCTCTTTCTGACATCGCATAGGATGGTAATCTCTAGTTGCATCCATGTTGCTGCAAATGGCATTATTTCGTTCTTTTTATGGCTGAGTAGTATCCCATTGTATATATGTGCCACGTCTTACTCATAGACATTTAGGTTGTTTCCACGTCTTGAGTATTGTGAATAATGCTGCTGTTAACATAGGGCTGTGTGTGTCTTTTAATTTTGTCAGCAGAGTAAAGATCAGATTGGCTTCATTAAATGATTCATGAGTCAGGCAGCCTCTCATCTAGCAGATAGAAAGGACCTCCACTGAGCTGTAGAAGAGGAAAGGTGGGAATGGGGCAGAAACAGGAAATTATTAGCAAAAAGTGCATTATTTCAGGGAAGGTCATCCTCCTAAGAGGAACAGAAGGGTTCTGCTGACCAGGCAGTTCCAGACTGACTGGTTAAAGGTTACATTTCTGCAGGAGGTTGAAACTGCAGTTAGGTTAGGTATTAAGTCTTGGTTTGGTGATGTGGGGTTAGCACAAGGGACTCCATATTGGACATGAGTAATAGAAATTTTACATTTGTATAACACATTGATAGCAACCTATAAATCTATAGGGAACTGATAAGCACTTATCAGTGCTTTTGTACTTGTACAAAGTAAGTGCTTTTGTATTTACAAAGTACCTTTAAATTCTGATACAGAATGATCTCTAGTATACTTTAAAGGAAAAAGCAGGGCACAGAAGAAGGTGTATAGTGTACTTTCATTTACAGGGAGGAAATAAATCTACTTAAGCAGATCTATATTAGTATAGTCTATCCATATTTGGGGGCAGAAACTGTGCAACAAACCCTGCATTTGTTTCAAATAAGACACTTTAAAACTTAATTTAAATGACAGTGATACCCACTTTGTTTCTGAAATGTATTCTGAATTTACATAGCAAAATAAGAAAGTACTTAACTCCTATGGTATATCATTCTTCATGTCCTTAGAGGAAGCAAAGTGTATGAGCTATTTATTGATGCATAACTAATTACCCAAAATTTGGTGGATTAAAACAACAGTAAACATTTAATTATCTTTCACAGTATATGTGGGTCAGCAGTTAGGGAGCAGCTTGGATGGTTTCTGGCTTGACGTCTCATAAGGTTATATAGTCAAGATACTAGCTGGGATGGTACTCATCTGGTCTGATTCTGTGGTGGCTCATTCACATGGATAGCAAATTCATGCTGGTGGTGGAAAACCTCAGTCTTCCACTGTCAGCCTCTTCCAGGGCTGCTTGAGTGTCCTTATGGTACAGCAGCTGGCTTACCCCAGAACCAGGCAGAAGCCTCAATCCCACCTCTGACCTTGCCTCAAAGGTTACTCACTCACTTGCTCATTATTTTGCTCATTGTTTGAACACTAACTAGTATACTGCAGTGCAGTTTGACACTAACCATCTGGAATTAATGCAGACCCCCCACCCCCACAAGTCAAAGGGCGTGACCAAAACTGCCCTTGCTTTAGATGTCAGCTGTATTTTGAAGGATCCTCAGGACACTTCTACTTCTGACCACCTGGCTGCAGATTCAGGGATTCCAATGACCCTGTCACAACCAATTTTTGGTTTCATTGGTTTTGTATGTTGTTTTTCTGTTGTCCATTTATCTGAGCTGTAATACTTATTTTTCTCTTCTTGCTGCTTTGGGTTTAGTTTTACTCTTTTTCTAGTTCCTTAATGTATAAAGTCAGGTTGTAGATTTGATACCCTTCTTTTTTTTTTAATTTAAGCATTTACAACTATAAATTTCTCTCTCAGCACTGCTTTTGCTGCATCCTGTAAGTTTTGGTATATTGTGTTTTCTTTTGTCTCAGATTTTTCTTTTTTGACTGCACTGTGTCTTCAGTGCACAGGCTTAGTTTCCATGTGACATCTTAGTTCCCTGACCAGGGATCAAACCCATGTCCCCTGCATTGGAAGGTGGATTCTTAGTCACTGGACCACCAGGGAAGTTCTTGCCTCAAGATATTTATTTTCAAAGTTCCCTTGTGATTTCTTCTTTGACCCATTGGTTGTGTTGGAGTATGTTGTTTAATTTCCACTGGTTCATTTACCGTAAACTCCAGAAATTTGTGGTGTCCCTCTAGGGACAAGGGGCCGTCAAAATTTTTTATTATACAGTGGTTACATAGATCAACTTTGATTCATTTTTAGAACAGATTATTACAGGGGTTGAATACCAGGGGCAGCAATAAGAGGGGACCACCTTAGAAGCTGACTACTACATAAAGTCATTCGACTCAGATCCAGCTGGCACAAGAGCTACATTGAAAATTCCTGTTTTATCTTTTCATCCTCTCAAGTCAAATGTTTTTAATATAAAAAAATTACTTTTATAAATTAAAACTAAATTACTTTTTTCTTGTATCATCAGCAGCAGTAAACAAGTGAGTTTAGGGACCCAGAAATGCCTAGTAAGGCACCAGCTTTACAGAATGTATGTGTAAGTTTTATAGATCACAGTGTATAGTTGTAGCTTCTTCTAACTCTAGAACCTGTCTATTTAAATTTTAGTTTATGTTGGCTAAGTGTATTTAAGAGCCCTGGTATTCATTCATTTATTCAACAAAATTTTATGAAGTGCTTACTATGGGTCACACACTATTCTTGGGGTTTCAGTGAACAAAAAAGGTTCCTTTCTGGTGGAGTTTTCATTTTAGGACACAACGACAAACTTATGGAGGTCGTCATAAGTTTGTTTTCTATGTGAGTCAGTTTCTGTTTTATAAACACATTCTTAAATCATTTTTTTAGATTCCACATATAAGTGATATCATACGATACTTGTCTTTCTCTTACTTCACCTATATGACATCTTTAGGTTCATCCATGTAGCTGCAATAGCATTAAGGAAGAGGCACATTTTAAAAAAAAAAAGCTTCTTTGGTACATGCTTGGTTTACATAGAATTCTTTCAGCATATTTATTTGTAGAAAGAACTAGCTTCCTCCTTCAACATTACTACCAGTTAGAACTGAACTACAGAAAAGTCCAGTGGCTGGTACAAACCTTGAACTTGCCAGATTAAGTTTCTATAATGAAATAGCTCTGTTCTCCATATCATTCTAAAGGCCTGTCTGTGGATCTTCTCATTTTTTCCTCTCATTTCTTCTGCTGCATTTATACCAAAGGCAAGTTCTGTAGTTCTTTTCCTTCTGTTTGATTCTGAATTAATTTACATTTGCCTTTTTTAGGTTTTAAATCAGAACTGTCAGCAGTCTTGTCTAGTTCAGTTTGGAATTGAGGTTTTTGTTGTTTAATCTGTGTTTCATACTAAAAATGGAGGGCTAGGAAGACTGGTTAGCTAGTCACCATTGGCCATTTTTGTAAGCTTAAGTAAATTTATTTAAGCTTTTGATATGCATTTGTAACTTATTATTTTATATACACATGTACATAAAATTTAGACTTCTCAGATGGTGCTAGTAATAAAGACTCCACCTGCCAATGCAGGAGATGCAAGAGACATGGGTTCAGCCCCTGGATCGCAACATCCCCTGGAGTAGGAAATGGCAGCCCACTCTAGTACTCTTGCCTGGAGAATTCCATGGACAGAGGGATCCATGGACCCTGGTGGGCTGCAGTCCATGGGGTCACAAAGAGTCAAGCATGACTAGCACACTCACACATAGATAAAATTTATCATCTTAACTATATTTAAATGTACAATTCAATGGCATTAAGTATATTCACATTGTTTTGCAACCATTACCACTGTCTTTTTCCAGAACTTACTCACCATCCCAAACTCAATACCCTGGTCAATAACTCCCCACTCTCCCAAACCCCCTAGTTCCTAGTAACCTCTATTCCACTTTCTTTCTCTATGAATTTGCCTCATCTAGGTACCTCATGTAAGTGGACTTTATACAGTATTTATCCTTTTTTGTCTGATTTACTTTTGCAAATATTTGCAATTTAATTGTTATGTTCAATAGCAATGAACTGCTGATGCTTTTACATGCTTGCATTGGGTGATCATGGTACAGTACATACCGTTTTACCTTTGGTTATAGTTTACAAACTTTTTATTGTTCACTCTTAGTCTTAGGTAGTTGAAGATAATTCTGAGCAAGATGATACACATGGTTTTGCCTATTAAGTATTTAAACATTACCTTTGAAATACAGTACTGCTTTTAAACACAGATGTTTTACATAGAATCATTTCATGGCTATTAAAAACTTGGAATATATTACTGATGTTTAACATGAAATTTACATGTATATCTTATGTTATATAATACTAGTTTTTATATAAATTTTTTTGTATATACATATTTTTTCTGGCTATTGCTTCTGCTTTTCTGATAATACTCAATTTGGTGGTGTGGTTGGATATTTTCTTTTAAACAATATGCAATCCAAGCAGGTTTTTTTTTTCCTGTGTTTTTAAATATTACTTTGAAAAAGTAAGGTCTTGTAGAAGTACCTATCTTAATCCTTCTGGTTTTTAATTTATTTTGTATTTCCAGGTATTTCTACATTGTCTCCTGGAGTGGGGTAGTCCTACTTCTTTTATCTGGTCACCTTCCCTATTGAAATGTGGATATCTCTTCTCTACACTTTACCTCCATGATTTGGATTGGAAAAGGCTGCTTTTCTTTTTGTTCTACCACTCCGATTCAACACAGAGAAGCTCCTGGGGTGCAGTCATCCTGCCAGGTTCTCTTGGAAGAAAGAAGCAGCTGACATGTATCTTCAGCTGCTATTTGCTTAATCACAAAGAAATTATTTCAAAAGCTGAAGGCTGATGTCTGGTTTGAAACAGATGCTTTGATGGTGATGTTTGTGAATTCTTTACCTTTTGTTCCAAACGAGAAGACTGAATATAAATAGTAGGACATCAGGGTTTTGGGATTTTTTTAACGTCTTCCAGTTTTAACCACTATCATGATAAGCACAGTTGAGACTTGGCAACAGTAAATTCCAGATATATGTTCTAATTTGAAGTGAAAGAGATGCTTAAAGAGATGGCTTACATATGTATCTAAATCCTGGCTTATCCTTTGACATGGATTTACTAGGTAAGAACAAAGGTACCATTTTGCAATAAAACCCTTGATGTGATAAAAAAGTAAAAAGACAAGATATCACAAGGTTACTTTCATATGTGAATAAACCATCACAAACCTATAAATAGCTATTTTTACATATGTAAGTCCACAGTTTGGGATGATAAGAGGAATTTTTCTCCTGGAGAAGGAAGCTGTGGTTGACTTCATTCTCAGAAATCTTTGGATATTTGGTATTTTTTAATGTTTTTTCATTCATCTAAGGAATGACCACATTGTGCAGATACTAACCTTATGAATGCATGCTTGGGTTAGTGAAAGATTGGTAAAAGGAAACAACAGTTTTGACTCCAGTGATGGAACCCAGTTCACCTCTGTAGCATGAGACCCCTACTGTATTACAAAGTGTTTCATTCTTTTTTGTGGAGTCTTATATAGCGCTTGAGACTCGGTTTTACATGCTGCTAAGGCTGAAAGAAAAGTGGCATAAGTGGATTTTTTGTTCAGAGGATGTGATGGACCCTACAGTATGGCCTGCCTCAGCTATGGACATAGAGGAGTGGAGGAAAAAAGGAGGACAGTTTCCGTATTACTCCTTTTTCCTAGGAAAAAGAAGTGAAAATGCTTTATGCAGCTCCGTCTGAGTTTATGACGTTTCACATTCTTACAGCTTTTTTTGGTAAAAGCGTAAATAATTCTTTTCCTTTGACCCAAGATGGGTTCTTGGGTATTTGATTTGTTTTTCTAGGTAATAGATGTAATGTTTGACTGAAAAGGCTTGGACTCAGGTAACTTTCTTCAGTTGGAACTGAACTTTCTTATCAGAGAATGGACCGCAGAAGAAATGTACCCAAACGTAATTGGTTCAGTGTAGATTTAGAAAAATTCAGAGTCTGAAAAAAGGGGGGAGAAAAACCCCTCAAACAGGAAAAATAATTCCAATAAGAAAAGTAATGCACTTCCTTTCTGTTAAAACATATATTATCTGATGAACAGTCTATAGGGTAAAGCTGTCCTTGCTTCCAAATCAACAGAGGACCATTGTATGAATTGCCAGGTCTTTGCATAAGAAGGAAACCTTTTATAATAAGTCTTTGTGAGTAGCGAAAGAATTTAAAGCTGCTTTGATGAAATTAAGATCAAATCATGTTAGATCATCTCTGTGTTATAGGGAATGTTTGCCCAGGGCCATACGTGCTGTGCTGCTGAAATCTTGGGAAAGATTATCAGAATTTGAGAGTGATCGAAATAGCCAAAAGTGGAAAATAATTGAGCGTTCTTAATCATTAGTTAAATTGGTCAGCTAGTTTGCATTGACATAAAACATTTTGGCAAAATAATTAATATAGATAAAATATAATTTCCTTTAATTGTGAGCAATTACTCAGTGGTAAAGCATAGTCAGAGTAGCTTAGATAAAGGTAACTTAAATTTTTCTCTTAGTAACTTCTCAGCCATTTCCTGATGTTTTCTCCCAGTATTTTGGAATTATTAAAAACAGTGTAGGAATGCTTTTAGCAATGGAACCTGCCTATATGAGTCCCATTGGTATGTTGAAAATATCAACATTTGTCTGTTAAACCCATCTTCCCCATTTTTTTTCTTTTTTGGCAAGAATTGTTTGGCAGGGTGTAGAAGAGACGTGTACCAGCAGCACCAGTGAAACTGTCTCTTTCCCACTTGTTTAAATATGTGTGTGTGTATCAGACTCATCTTCTCAAGTTGCTTTACATATTTTCATTTCACAACTTAAGAGACCACTGCTTAATGCTTTCTTTCAAATTGTTTCTGCATCTTCCATGATTTTCATCAGATGGCATTTAACAAAATGGATATATTCCAGTTGTACTTGCCCAGTGTTTAGTTATTGCATCTACATTATTTTCCCTGATGTATTTTGTTCCACTTCATGACGGCAAAAGCTGTAATTTTAGGCAGGACTGTGCCTCAGTCTGTAGCTGTGCCTACTTCCTTTACTTTGCTCATCCATGTTAGCTGGCATTTTTTTCTTTTAAAAAGTTGAACAAAAACGGGATATGTGCAATAGAAATATATATATGTATATTTTTTTTCTAAATACTTGTGGACAAATGTTACAAGTTGTTTAAGAACAACAAAATCACCAATGTCTTCCATTCTGAGATGTGTATAGTTTTGTAAGCATTAGTGCTTGGTAGCATATGTAGTGCCATGTTAGGGGTTAGTGCATGAGCCTAGTGATCCTTTAAACTTCAGGATGAATTACAGAAAATAATAGTGTAAAAAGATTGGGAAACCTAGACCTTTTGTTTTTTCATAAATATCTGAATCTGTGATATTCTCCCTGGGGAAAAGAGATTAAAGCCGAAAGTATTCATTTAGGAATAGAAATGTGGGGTTACAACATGAGATACTGTCTTTAAGGATATTTAAGCTTTCCATTAGGTAGCTGGAAAGCAGTTGCCTTTGTGTCTTTATGAAACCTTACATCAAAATGAGGCCCTATTTCATGATTTGGCTTTGCTCTCAAGTTTGAAGTGAGATTGTTCTTACACTGTTTTCACATTGTATGTCTGGTAGGTTTATTGTTTTCCCACTCCTTTTGCATCAGGTTATTTTATATTTTGCATGTTACTAAGATTCTGTTTATTGCTTAAGTGACTGTTTTTCTAATCTGCAGGCCATTTATGCTTCCATCTGCAGTATGCTACATGTTAGCAAACAACACTGATCGTAGTTCAGTGTCCTAGATGAATTTCTCATGGGTTTTTCCTGTTTCCAAATCTGCTGAATTGTTTATTGATGGGATTCCAGACCTTTTCATGAGAATTGGAAATGTAGCTAAATGGAGCCTTATCTAGGCTGCCATGTATTAACTCTCTGCTTGGTTATAGTAATTGCCTCAGGCTGCTTTCACTTTTTTCTGCTTTCCTCGTAGAAATAAAAGTTTGTTTTGTTCTGAAAGCATAGCTTTCTGTAGAAAAGAAATTCCTACCTCTAAAAGCTTTCTTGAGAACTTGGAAATGGCAGTTTTCTGGGGTGATTTTTAGATCTCAGGAGAGTTCAGGATAGACACAGATTCTACAGTTAGTATGATATGAAATGCAAAACATTTTTAATGTGGTGTGACACGTGCAGAAGCAGGCTTAAACAAATCGACTCTTGGGCAACAGATCTCTAGGGACCCAGGTTTAGATTCTTAGATTGTACTTAAAGTGGTTGTACTCTTGTTTCAAGTAGTTTAGTGCCTAGGAGAATCCACTTCTGAAAAGCATTTAAACATTTTTAAAAATACCTCTGAAAAGGTAATGAATGCAAAATCGCAGAATATATAGGAAAGAATATTTCCTATTGCAAAAAAAAAGCCATAAAACAAGCTGATAATTTTCAAGAGGTAGAATTTCAGTAGCAATAACAGTTTTGCATGTATAATAAGTTGCATTAGCAAGGTTGTACAATAGACTACTACTTGAGTTTGAGACTTCGATCAACAGAATTCCATGAAAGGAAAAAGATGTTCTAGATAGAATGTATAAATGTAGTTTAAAAAAAAAAAAAACTATGAATGTGCATGAATATATCATTATGTGAGAAATAGCAACTTTTGTAAGTCAAAGTTTAAATACTTTACTTGGTTGCTAGAGCAGAGGGTTAAAGCCTCATTAAATTAACCTTACCTGATGCTTAACCTGCTTTGTCACCTCATCTTTCTCCATTAGTTTCCTGGGTACATTTTTTTAAAGAGAGAAAAGTTTGTTGTGTATATATATTTATGGCTTAAAAAACAAACCAAGAGCTTGGATAACTGGCTTTTCTTCATGCCTATTAGTGCAGGGGAGTTAGGATTTAAAGGTGTTAAGCAAAAGGATTGAAAGGAATGGCCAAAGACAGTACATCATCTAATGTAGATGTGCCAAGGCCTGTGGTCTGTTGACACCTTATTTTAACAGGAACCCAGCAAACTAGTTTCTTGATCTGAAGAATAACACAGCTCTCACATCTGGATGTAAGGGTGTAACAAAGGCGACTACTTTTACCTCATGTTCACCTTGGCCATTTAGTACCTTGAAGATTCCCAAAAAGAGTGTGTTCCCTTGTTTCCCAGGGGAAGAAGCTGAAAGGTAAATAGAGTGGATCTAAGAAAATAGTGCCTCTTGAATACTAAATTCTTAAATGGCAACTCCAAAGGATAGAGAAAAGGCTATCTTAAATGATTATAGCTCCTCTTTATATGTCCTATGCCTTCAGTTGGTGTTAGAGGCATTGGAATAACCAAGCAATATTTAGACATCTGCACGATCATGAGGACACCACTGGATATTACAGTGATGTCAACAGTTTAGTTAATTAGAACAATTAAAATATTACCCTCAACAGCCACATTAATAGTTGTAAATGCTCAAATGTGCTCTTAAGTTTTTGTGGTCTCAAAGTATGGTTGATTATTTTTCAATATTGTGATTCCATGTTTACTCTTTGTGTACCTGTGATATGCAAAATATGAAGAGACCCTTGGCCTCTAGGAGTTTACATTCTCATGGTGCTGCTGGTACAAGCAAATTGCTTCTAGTTTATTCAGAACATTGCTTGGCTGTTAATTATACCATGTTTGGAAGGATTCCTTGGCCAACAGTTTTCAAAAGCAGAGGGCTATGCTAAACTTCAGGGCATTGATTTTTGAGTTTACATTGTATTAGCTCTGCTGTTCATAAACTCCTTTCCCCAGGGAGCTGTGCAGGTATGCTCATTAATGTGAATGAGAAACCATCCTGCCTGAGAGCATTTTCATCGTCTGTACCACCTATGCTCTTCCATGCCATCACTGTCAGTAAATGGCCAAGAAAATTTAACTGCTCCAGAGGACATCTGTCAGTACTCTTTTCCCAAATTTTTACATTATTCTCTACCCGAAAGGACCAGAATTTGCAATTAAGCCTTTTATAACTGAATAGTGGTCCTAATTTTAACCTTTTTGTCTGTGACTTTTGTAACTCTATTCTGAAGCAGCATTGTGATAGATGTGGAGCAGCTGCCTGCATTTCTAAGCAATCACTTTATTAACCTATATTTTCAGTTGAAACTGCATGTATCCTTGTAATTTTCCCTAATTCCTCTTAGTCAAAGAGTTTACTCTGCATGTTTATTAAAACTGGGTCTGGATGAAAGTGTGAGCAATAGTGGCAGGCCCATAACTCTTTAAGAGTATAATCCTAATGCATGGTTGAAAATGTACAGTGTTAATGTGGTTACTAGTAATTATATGTATCCATTTATTAGTAATGAAGCAATAGAGACTTCAACCACTATCTTGAATTATTATTTGGATCATTAGTTTTCATTTTCTAAGTAAAGACTTTCTTCCATTGAAAATGGGAGCTAGAAGATAAACAGGGGCAACCACAAGACATTCAGACTGTCAGGAATAGAGCATAACAGTGCTCACCCTCTAACCTCTCGCCTGCTTCCATTAGTCCCCAAGCATGTTTAAAAACAAAAGGCACAAACTAAGCATGTTGAATAAACAAACAAGCTGCTGTGGTTCTAATCAGGTGCAGAGTTTCAGAAAGGGTACGGAGCGCCAGTGTGGAAGATGTAATCAGGAATGGGATTTGTCTGATAGAAGTTTATGTGGCTTACGTTTGGATCTCTTTAAGACTAGAATCTTGAAAGTGAATAGAAACAATAATGCACGTATTTCAGATGTTCCACGATTTTCAGGTAACTGGGCAGCTCTTTGGATGGTACTGCTATTAACCAGCCATAAGAGTTCCTTCCAGCAAAGGAGCCCTTTACATTTTATGGAAATAGTCCTTAAAATATACACACATCTGTGGTTTGGTTTCTCTGTCGTTACTGTTTTCAGATTTTCAAAGAAAAGTTTTATAGCCAGTTTTATCCTTAATATTTTGGTTAGACTTCATAATTTGTTGCCTAAAGTTTTTTTATGCCAGGTAACAAGGAGCAATTTTTCCCATTCTGTAGAAAAACCTTGTCATTTATTTTCTTGATGTAGAAAATAGATCAGTTTATTGTGATAGCTTACAATTTTTTGAGATGATTTCTGATTTTGAAATAACCCCTGTAAGAACATGTGATCATGACGAATGTACAAATAGGATTCATTGTATCTGAAAGAGGCCTAAGTAGAAGAGAGTTCAGGATTAGACTGGTAGTCACTAGGCACCATCCAGTTTCATGTTCTGTGATTGAAAAATATTTTTTCCAAAATTATTTCAACCTGATTTTAATCTTAGCTGTGGGATTTGATTCCAAATACCTTGATATCCAAATACCTGGATAACTTTCCAGTAGTTAAAAATTGAATTACTAATAGTCATTTTACTCAGTTCAGGAAGTGAAATGTCATATCCCATATGTAAAGTTTCTCTTTGATACTTACCAGTAACATGTCTGCCAAACAAACCAGTAAAGATTGAAGGACAGAGTTTCTCTAATCTGTTTCCATTATTCCACTGGGGCATATTAAAATGTTAACATTAGAAATCCAAACATCACAGATTTCTCTAGGAACTCATACTTCTAAACCTTCAAGTCAGAATAGATATGTTAAGGTTAGAATTTTCGAAAGATTTTGTCTCCTTTGGTGATGCTGTGCCACACCAGAGATTAAAATGTTTTTCTCCCAGGGATAAGTATTCTGGCAATAAATTATCATCAGTCCTTAAGCAACAGTAATGTTTTGACCCTTACCTTAAAACCATGCATCACTGGTAATTTTAAAAGATTCATATTAGAATAACCTTCACATAGACTTACTTCAGTAGCTTGTTTTTACTTACTGTTCAGCATCTTCTCCCTCCCATGGTATATGAGATAATGTTAAAAGACTTTCATTGACTGTTTGGAGTTTTACAAAAGGCCGCTTGCTTTCTAATCTATGCATCTTTGGGACTGTAGATGAAATTTTATTCTTTGCTGTAAGAAGGAACTGCTGTGAGAGTTAAAAGCTCTGCACCTGTGTACATATATATTTTGGCAATAAAGCAGCATGGGCTGAGAATGCACTCAAGTTTCACTCTTATTATTTGGAATGGGTAACTGTAATGACGCAGTACATTATGGAGACTGAAGAAGGGGTCTGTTCACAGACCTGTGCTGAGGCAGGCTCCAGATGGCAAAGAAAACAAAGGACCTGGGTTTCTTGATATCAACTTGTAGCAATTTCTGGTGTAGTTCAAGGAAAAAACAGGTAACCATATCAATAAAGAGGCACCACATTTAAAGTATGCCCTTATGCCATCCCCCTTTTTAACCTAAATTTAGGGCAAACTTTATGCTAGGTCTAGGAGCAAATGTGTAGTTTCTGGTAAGGAAATAAGTGAGCAAAGTCCAGTAATGATAAAATTATTGCAGATAATCCTATCTGAAATATATAAAACATTTAAGATGCTTTTATATTTAACTTTAAAAAGTTAAATAGAGGTTTTAACACTAAGATAGCTCCTAGGTTCAGGGGAAGGAAGTTATTTCAAATTTAAGAAAGTAGATGTTACAAGCTTCCTTAGAGATTTGGCTGTTAAGAAATGAAGAACAAGCTATGTGGTTTTTGTGATGTGACAACTAATGTAGTAGTTCCTTCCTTTGATTTATAAGACTTCATTTAACACAGTGATACATTCTATTCCCAGGTACTATGCTAGATGGTGGAGTTTACAAAACTGAGATGGTTTTTGCCATTAGTTGAGGAGCTTGAAAGTGTACAACTTGGGAACCTTCAATATGCAATTTTTTTGTTCTTATAAGTACATGGATTTTTTTTTTTTTTAACTTTTTGGGTGCACCATGTGGCATGTTGAACCCATGTCCCCCACAGTGGAAGCACAGAGTCATAACCGCTGGACTACCAGGGAAGTCTTAAGTACATGGAATTTTGAAAATACTTTTATTCAACATATATACAATGCTAAATGATATCTTTACAGAGTCTATTAATATCAGCCAGTCATTGATGTTAGACTTCCCAGAGGAGCTCTTATACCACTAAAGCTTGTTTAAAAGTCAGTCATTTGTGATTATCAATTAATAATACAATTAATACAACATTTATAAAAGGCATATACCAAAATTGTAAATGAACATGCCCTTTGACTCTGTTCACTTTAGGAATTGTTCCTACAGAAAAACCTGGACAGATAGGAAAAGACATGTACAAGGGTCCAGTATAGGGATGGTTAAATTCTGATGCATTCATATGACTGAATTATATGTAAGTGTTAAGTAATTGGTGAGGCCTGGTATAGAAAACTATGACATGTGCTATACAAGAAGCAGGTTGCAGAATAATGCAACCTGTTATGTCTGTCCATATGAATTAAAGTTATAATAATTAGCATTTATTAAGCATTTACTATTAAGCACTACTCTTAATTACATTAGATGTATTCAGTAACTCATTTAATCCTCACTGTAGCCCTAGTTAGCTTTTAACCCCTATTTTAAAAGAAGAGTTTAATTCTTCAAGTTCATGGCTAATACGTACCCAAGCCACAATTTGAATCCAAATCATCTGGCTTCCAGATTGCTCTACTGTGCCTCTCAAAAATATAAGGGAGAGTGTACTTTACTTTGACACACATCTACTATATCTGACTTTGATTCTAGAGTAAACATGTGATTTGCATTTGGGAAAAAAAATTTAAAGTCAGCCATCTTAATTAGATGTCAAGTTCAAGCATTTAATTTTCCATTGAAAGTTTACCAAAACAGCAAATCCAAAGTTAAGGAAAATAGCTACATAAGATGAGCTTAATTTAGATTAAATATGTTGAGGTAGACATACCCATACACAGTACAAACCCCAGGATGATTCAATAGAGACTATTACTGGGTCTCATTCTTCAGGAATAGAGCTTTTCTGGTACTGTTTGTTGCCAGAGGCTTCCTCCTTACTTAACCAAATTTTGCAAACTATAAAGCATAAAGCAAGTCGGAATTTTCCCTCTCAAATATTTTTAAAGGAAAATACCCTTTATGTAGTCGAAAAGGGAAAGAACTTGCTATTAAATCTACTTGCCATGTCTGAATCATGTTACCCTGTCTGCACACCACCCCTTGGCTGTATCATCTCTTGACTGGACTGTACTAGTGCCAGCCCCTCTCGGTCTGCTTGCCTCCCTCTAGGTTCTTCACAGGACAACCATAATGAGATTCTGAAAAAGAAAATTTGATTCTGTCATAGGCTTCCTCCTTTAAAATTCTTCCAAGAGCTTTTCATTGTTGTTGGGATAAAAACAAATATCCTTCAGGAGGCCAATAAGGCTTTGCAGCCTCTGGTTTCTGGACACTATTACAACTCCTACATGTCTTTTTAAGGGCCTCACAGGGCCTTCATATAAGCCGTTCCCTCTATAAGCTTATTAACTCCTAATCTTTCAGACCACTGCTGAAACACTTCAACAGAAAGACCTTCCCTGACCCCCAAACCAGGTCAGTTACCTGCTATATGTGTTTACTGCTCTATGTTCCTTTTCTTCAAAACCCTTACTACAGTTGTAATTTTAAATGCCTTCACGTGGTTATTTAAATGTCCATCTCTAACTAGATTATAAGCTCCTAAGATACAGAATAGCTGTTTTTGCTTATTTCTAGCAGCTAGCGTAATATTTTATAGCTATTAAATGAATAACATCATAAGCTATTGAATCACAGTGCTACATAAAGTAAAATAATGAGAAAATAGCATTCGGTGAATATTTGGTGTTTTTATCATTCCTTTCATTACTATCCTGTTATTCCTTTTCAGTTGTAAACTGAAAAGGTCAAGATAAATATATATTATGGAGTTAACTTGTTGAACATTACCTACAGAAATATGTATGTACTTGTATTTCATGTAAGAGAAAAATGCTTTCTCAGTATTCATATGACAATTGCTCCATGTAGGAATAATAGTTAATCAACATAACTACAACTGTATTTTCAGGCCCGTCATGCATCTTTAGATCAGAGCATTCATGGGACATTGGCTCTTAATTCTTAAATTTGCAATCAGAATGTTTTCAAAAATAAATATTATGAAATTGATAAGAAGCCAAAATAAATTAGGACAAATAGCTATGAAACCTGGACAGAAGTCTCCTGTTTCTCATCTTCTAGAAACAGCTTCACAAATCACTTGGAAAATTAGTCTAGAGGTAAACATAATAAACCACATTTCCTGTCCATTCTTGATGTTTCTTGAGAAGTGATCAAACAGCACCTGTTGTTGAAGACAGCAATAAGGCCTGCCTCTGATCCTCAACCTCTGATTCTGAATTAGTTTCTTAGCTTGGACTGGTCAGGAGGCACTTCCTTCAGAATTTTCATGAGTGAATTTAAGCGGGTATGTGTTAACATTATCTTCTCTTTCAGCTGGGAAGAGAAATATAGATATCAGGGCATCTTAAATTTAACTTTCAATCTGATTCTAGAAGCCACTTCAGATTAAAACTAGTGACTGGGAGCTGGTAATATTACAACACATTTCATAAGTACATTTGTTCTATTATGAAAGGACTTTATACAACAAACCTAGAGCACAGTAAGGTTACAGATACAAAGTTTCCTGTGAAAAAAGACCAGTCACTGATGCTGAGCATTGCTACTTCTGGTATCCTTCCTTCCTAGCCCTTATCACCAGGTAAGTGTTAACTCCAAAACATGGGAAGACAAGAATAAAGTGCGATCAGAAAGCTTGTGGAGACAGAAGCGTTAATCAGTCTTTCCCTCTTTTTTCCAGCAGCAAGAATTTTTTAAATTCTTATTCACAGTAACATATGTCTGTCTTTAATTGCTAATGGCCTTCAAAGGTAGCTCTGGTTGCCAGGTTTAGCACAAATGTTTCTGGTAGATGATTTTCAGTAGTTTGTTTTTTTTTCCCCAGCTCAGAATAGCCATATCTAAAACCAAACTTAATGATTGTTACCCAGTTGCATGAAGTTACCATGGATAAGTCTTAGTTTAAAAAAAAAAAAAAAGAAAACACCCAACTTATTTCTGACATAGCACAAATCTACTTTTTATAATTCAAAATACAAGAATACTCAAAATACATCGGGAAGTTTTGCTTAAGCAGGTCACTGTAGAGCCCATTAATCTTATTTGGGTGCCCCTGGACATAATGAATCATTTTTGTTACTTTCAAGATTTTTTTTTCAGTCTTTAATGTTCAACATTTTTGCTGTGTATTTGGTATACTACTACTACTAAGTCGCTTCAGTCATGTCCGACTCTGTGTGACCTCATAGATGGCAGCCCACCAGGCTCCCCCATCCCTGGGATTCTCTAGGCAAGAATACTGGAGTGGGTTGCCATTGCCATATTGGGTATAGTTCTCTGCATCTATCTTACCTGATAAATGAGGTTTATCGAGGTCTTAGACATGTAAATTGTTTTTCATCAAATTCAGGTAGTTTTTAACCATTATTTCCTTGAACATTTTTTCTTTTTCCTCTGCCTTTTGTACTCCCATTACTGAAGCATATTTAGGCATGCTTATGGTATCCAACAAATCTCTTAAGCTACTTTATTTTCCTTCATTCATTCTTTCTCTCCCCTTCAGATTGCAAATCTCATCAATCTGTCTACAAGTTTGCTGATTCTCCAATCAGCTCAAATGTGTTGTTGAGCCACTTTACTGAAATTCTCATTTATTTATTGCACTTTACAATTCCAGGATTTCCATTTAGGCTTTCTTTTTTCTTTTTTCTCTTTAGGAACATTCTCTATTTAATGAGACACTCATCAGACCTTCCTTTACTTCTTTTTAAGTCTTTAAAAAAAAATCGTGCTTCTTTGTGAAAACACCAAATGGCGGATGATGCCAGTGCTGCGGGAGGATAAAATTGTATGAAAGACTAAAAACAAAATCATTTATTTTTGGCTGTGCAGGGTCTTCTTGCTGCACGGGCTTTCCTCTAGTTGCGGTACACATGTTTCTTGCTGCGGTGGCTTCTTTTATTGCAGAGCATGGGCTCTAGGGTACACAGGCTTCAGCAGTTGTGGCGCACAGGCTAAGTTGCTCCAC